GCTTTTCGGGAGGCCATTTTTCGGATTCAGCATTTGAAGAGAAGAGGGGGCACTCTGCTTTACATTCCTCCCGGGGTTTTCTTGACTGAGAGCTTCAATCTCACCAGCCATATGACTCTCTATCTCGCTAAAGGCGCTGTTATCAAAGCTGTTCAGGTGATTATTCTTGTTAAACTTTGTTCAGTAACATCTTTTTTGTTCAATTGTTCCCATATTCAGCTTGTTTTCTGGGTGATTATTTGTGATTTCCAAATTGAAATAGATGTGGGTCCTGGAGGGGAATGGCGAGAAGTGGTGGGTGGGTCTTTGATTACTCTGTTGCATGTGCATCCACTCTAAATTTATTGCATTATATATGATTGGACCGTTGACAGGCTGTTCTTTGTCGGTCTCTGATGCTAACTTTTGATTACAAAACAATATGATCCCGTTTTATTTGATTGGTCAATTCAGTGTTCTGAAATGCTAATTTGTGGTTATCATTTGGCTGATCTGGACATCAATTTTTAGCAACTCTGGTTGTCAACTTAGTTGAAATTTCTAGTGTGTAAAGTAAACTATGTCGATAACAATGACTATGTAATGAATAGTTTAATTACTTAGACAGTTAGACCATGTCTATTTCAGCCAGCAAAAACTAAAAACGAAGGTCTATTTTATGCCATCTGATCCTTTTCTTAATTCCTTTTGTTTTTCCTAGAGGAATTTTACCAAGAACTTCCCAATACATGAAGTAAAAACTTGGACATTTTGTAAAGATTTTGTAGTTAGAACCCTGTATATGTTGTTAGGTTCTAAGATATGACTCCTCTATGGTGACTGGCCTCCAATAAATTTTCTCTTCTGGTGAGTTTGTGTTTATGTCCATGGATGATCAATTTAGTGGGTGCAAGGTGCAATATCTTCGGTGTTAAGTTTTTCATCATTCACGCTATTGTCTCCGCTATCTTTTCTATGATGTTATTTTCTGCAGATGATGAGACTTGTTCAATCTTCATTTCAGTTAAATAGCTGAAGAATCTTTATCTTGCATTATTAAAAATTTGTATCTTAAGCTTTTTTGTTTATTTGCTTTTGATGGTCCAGGATTCTTCGGATTGGCCCGTAATAGCTCCATTGCCATCTTATGGAAGAGGGAGGGAGCGCCCTGGAGGAAGATATGTGAGCTTTATTCATGGAGATGGCGTTCATGATGTGGTGATCACTGGTATGAATCATCAAGTTCTTCTAAATATAGATGTAATTGCAAACATGGCTTACTCGTGTTCTTGGGCCTGAGAAAAATTGATGTGTCTTAGGCGAGAACGGGACTATTGATGGCCAAGGTGATGCTTGGTGGAATATGTGGAAGACAGGGACTCTCAAGTTCACCAGGCCTAATCTCGTTGAGTTTATCAATTCTTATAATATCATCATTTCCAATGTAATTTTCCAGAATTCTCCATTTTGGAACATCCATCCAGTTTACTGCAGGTAAGAATAAGACTAGCTTAAAGTTAGCTTCAATCATGTTACAGCTCCATATAATAGCATGTATCATGCCTAGAAGACCACTGAAATGTTATCATTGACTAGTTTATCTGTTTAGTCATGTAAAAATTTGAACATCCAACATTTTTAAAGCCTTCTTTCTTACCCAATAATATTTTGATCTCTTCTTTTGGGTAGTAGAGATATTGTGCAGGGATAAGTGTCCAACATTTCCTCACAATAATCTGCTATGAATCTACACTGGTATAGTTCTATCTACATTTTTTTTATCTTTTGTTGCAGAAACGTTGTTGTCAGATATGTCACAATATTGGCTCCTCGTGATTCCCCCAACACCGATGGAATTGATCCAGGTGCATTTTTAGATCTCTCGGTACATGTCACATAGTTATTAGCTCCCCCGCCTCCATCTGTGCCCTGGTTCTGGTCACAAGAGCTAGAAAACTCATTAAAATGAAGGGTTATTCTGTATCATAATATTAGTTTTGTATATGATTGGAAGTAACAAAACTTGCAAACTGATGCTCACAGATTCAAGCAATAACGTTTGCATAGAAGATTCCTACATTTCTACTGGAGATGATCTTGTGGCTGTGAAGAGTGGATGGGATGAATATGGTATTGCTTACGGTCGCAGTAGTTATGACATTACTATCCGAAGAGTGTCAGGGTCAAGCCCATTTGCCGGAGTTGCAGTCGGAAGCGAAACCTCCGGTGGAGTGGCAAACGTATTGGCCGAACACCTGAGTTTTTTTGACATGGGAGTTGGTATTAACATCAAGACAAACATTGGAAGGGGAGGGTTCATAAAGAACATAACTGTGTCCAATGTCTACATGGAGCGTTCGAGAAAGGGTCTAAAGATTGCAGGCGATACCGGGGATCATCCAGACGACAAGTTCGACCCAAATGCTCTTCCGATTGTCAAAGACATCACGATTAAAAATGTTTGGGGCGTGAACGTACAGCAAGCAGGTTCTATATATGGCTTGAAGAACTCTCCATTTACCGGTATATGTCTTTCGAACATCAACCTGCACGGCACAACGAGACCGAGATCGGTTCCGTGGACTTGCTCGTATGTAAGTGGTGCAGCTCTTTTGGTTAGTCCATGGCCATGCTCGGAGCTCACCAGCACCCAGCAGGATGGTTTGTGCTCTGATAACTTCTGAAAAATGCACATGTAATTTGTATATTTTGTTATTAAAAACTAGCGAATGTTTCGCTTTCTGAGTTTGTAGTAACTATATCCCATTTGTCTGTCAAGTGTTAATGATGACGTTATTTCCCGAAGGCCAAAGGAAGTATTTTTTTTTTTTTTTGAGATACCGAAGGAAGTATTGAATTTAAAAGATTATTGGAGATGGAGCTGGCATTTGTAAGTATAATAATCCTATAAGTTATAATTACGAGTAAAGAAAATCCAAAACTCAAGACATTTTTTGGTTAAGTTTTTACGTATGATGTTGTGGAATGAGGAATTTAAGGGCATAGAATGCTCAATGTTAGCTACATTCAGGGCTTAACCGAATTGGTTCGAGTCGATTTTTGGTCTGAATTGATGCTAAATTGAGACATGAGGGTAAGAATATGAAAGATCAAATGAATAGATTGTCTAACTAGGGGTGGAGAGGAACAAATGCTTTCTTCTATATAATATTTCAATTTTGAATAGGAGGGATTGACTCACCACTAGAATTGAATCAATCAAAACCAACAAAATCTATTTAAATTGAACATGCTATTTTTGTTTTTTATACTTTAAAATATGAAAAAGACGAGACAAGTCTTCCAAACAACTAAATTGATTTAGTTCAATTTGTCTGTTTATTTATTCTCATGTTTTTAGTTTAACATGTAAGGGTAAAGATTCAAAATCTCTACTTGGTCAATAATATATGCCTTAGCCAGTTGAGCTAAAGTCATGTTGAATTATTTATTCTAAATTTGAGCTTGTCCTTCAGTTAAAAATATTAAACTAATGCAGCATACTCATTAAATTAATTTTAGTTGAGTTGACATGACGTGACAGATAGCTTAATAGATTAACAAATATATTATATCCATCTTTTTTTACTAATAATCTCACTAATATTAATAAATTAGAAAGAAACAAATCCAAAGTTAAGAGAAGTCATTGAATTTTTTTTAGAATCTAAAAATAAAATAGACTAAAAATGTTCAAATTTATTAAAAAAAAAAACCCCAATTAGCTGAAATTTTGCGAAGTAAAAATGGAAGGTGTAATCTTGTGGGCTGGGCCTTTAGATTGACCTTCTTTGGGCCACGCGGCCGCGCGCGTGGGACTGTGGGAGTTCGCTTCATTCAGCGCACCAGCAGACGATGAACTTTCGCTACTCCTTCTACAGCTCTCAGTTTGGCGCCAAAGTTTCATCTGCTTTCTGGGTTTGTTAATATTAGGGTTTCTTTTGATTTGGGCGTTCGGTTTCTGGTTCCAGACCTCCAGTACAGCAATGGCTTCTTCACCTCCTTCAAAACGCAGGCGTAAAAATCTCACTGCTTTTGACGATGCCTTCGAGACCTTACTCGCAACATCTTCCTCCGTTAATAGATTATCCCCTGTGGTCGTTTTTGCTCACGGTGCAGGTGCTCCTTCCTCCTCTGAATGGATGATCAGGTCATTCTCTTCCCCCTTTTTCTAACCCTTATCTTCGTCCATCTCCTTTCATCTCCCGTTTTCCGACTGGCTTGCACAATTTAGGGTTGAATTTGAATGGAATTGGGTGATTTTATTTATTTGTAGTCTTTTGAATGTGTAAGTGATTTGATTTGAAGTAGTGCTTTGGCTGCTTGTTTACTTGACTGGGTATTGCTCTGCGTGTTTCAACTTGAAGCACTCATTAATCATATGTTTGATTGGGAAATCTTGCGTGAATCACAGAGTAGAAATGGCATGCCCGTTACTGTACTATCACTTATTTGAGATTCAAATGCCTTGCATCCTGTAAAATCTGTTGGAACAAAACAATTAGTTGACTTGTGAAGACTAAAATTTATTGATTTCATTCAGATGGAAAGAGATGTTAGGCAGGGCACTGCATGCTGTTGAAGTAGTCACCTTTGACTATCCATGTAAGTACTTTACATTTCATAGATTTAGAACTGTATAGCTTTTGCTAACTTACACGGTATTGGAACATAATGAACTCCAAATTTGTTTGTTTCTTTCAATAATCTTCAAAATTTTGAGTTTTAACTTGACAGACATTTCTGGTGGAAGGAAATCTCCTCCCAAGGCAGAAAAATTGGTTCCATATCATGCAGAAATTGTCAAAAGAACGATTGCAAAGTACCCTGGGCACCCTTTGATTTTGGCTGGTAAATCGATGGGTTCGAGGTAACAATTTTGTTTCTTTGCCAGCAAGTATCCTTTTGCTAATTTATATAGCTCTTCTCTTTAGCATCTATATTAGTATGAATATTTCAAATCTTTCCAAAGTGTATTGTGTTAGGTGGCTATACGTGGAAGAAACTTCTCCTCAAGTGATTTCCTTAATAGGCAGTTTGTTTTCTGATAAATTTACAGATAGCCTATGCAAAAGAATGAAAATCTCCAAGCTGAGTTGGGGATCGATTCATTTCTTACCTAAAAAGTTTTAAATAATACATAACCATGCAACGTTCATATATCATAATTTGAGGTCTACATTTGGGTGAATGTGGTTTTTACTTATTTTATTTATTCGCAGAGTAAGTTGCATGGTAGCTTGTGAGGAAGGCATTCATGCTTCTGCAATAATTTGCTTGGGGTATCCCTTGAAGGTTTGAGATTATTTATGCATATCAGATTGAAAACGCCTTCAGGCTTTAGGGTAAATAAACTGATTTTGAGTTGTGGTTTTTGTTGAATCTTGTAGATGGTTAGTCTTTTTTGTTTGTCATGGTCTCAAAATCCTGATTTCTTGGACAACCTGAACTTTATAATAAGGAATTTTAATTGGTAAAAAAACTTGACCTTATAGTTCAGATGTGCAATAAGTGAGTGTCAGATGACTAATATATGTTGGATGTGGACTCGTACTCAAATTAAAGGGTTCGGGTTTAATAGCTGTCAATCTTTGAGGGTGTGAAAGATCATTACGTGTAGGATTGGCAATGAAGGTGACAGTTTACACTTACAATTGAAGCTTTAATCTTTGCTTTGATTAATCATGTGAAGTTTCATGTCTTTACTTTTTAGGGATTGAAAGGGGACGTGCGAGACCTAACGCTATTTCAAGTTACCGTCCCTATCATGTTTGTACAGGTACCTATTCTTTACAAACTTTACATTAACAAAAAAATACACCCACACCTACACCCACACTCACGGTGGCTTCAACCAGAAAACAGGTCCAAAACAGTTAAACAAGTGTCTGGTTGCCTAGTTCGGTAAATCTAACTGCACACAAATTCCACCCTCTGTTTTTCTCCAAAACTCGGTACAAACTTTACACTAACAACTGAACAATGTATGCTGCAATATTATCTTCTGGAAGATTTGAAGCATAATCTGCATCTTCTATGGCAAAGCAATAATATAGGTCTGGATTAACTGTGGTTCCATGAGGGAACATAATGGGTCAAGGTTTCTCTTTGGCACCTAGGTCATTTAACTACGGTCACGCTTTGTTAGTAATGGTATATATCTTTCTTTGTGGGTGTCGTTTTTGTCGATTGGATCACACTATCACAGTTTCTCTGACCATCGTTGTAGGGGTGCAAAAAAAAAAAAAGAAGAAAAACCAAATGAATAGAAGAACTGAACCGAACTGACTGGTCTGGTTTGGTTATAACTATACCCAATGTTTGAGTACTTGTGTAGTGCACTGATAGGACCCGTATGGAAATTATATTGAAATATCAATAAGGAAATACAACAAGATACTGTCAAGTCAAGCTATTGGGACCCTTCCGATGATGTCACTCGAGACTGAACCATGACCACTAAAATATTTCCTATCTTTCCCCAAAGCTAGACTTATCTATTCACAAAAACCTCCTAAGACGATGCCTTACTAATTAGCATATTTCCCGGCTATTTGGTCCTAGCACGCACATTGCTATAGGTGATCAATCATAGAATTGAAAATTTTGATTGAAGTTCAAGTTCAACTATATGTTCCTTTTGATATTTGGTTGTGCAGCCCATAATCTCATCTCATCAATGTGCCATTCAGGGTAGCAAGGATGCTCTGTGTCCATTAGAGAAGCTGGAGGATATTCGGAAGAGGATGAAATCAATCAGTGGGTTACATGTGATTGATGGTGGCGACCATTCTTTCCAGATTTCAAAGAAGTACCTTCAAGGTAAGGGTTCGAGTAAAGACGAAGCCGAAGGCCTTGCATCTCAGGCCATTGCAACTTTTGTTTCCGGGTTTCTTGGATGGATTTAGCCTAAGCTTGTTTTGTTGTACAAATGCGTCGTTCCTTGGACGTTTAGTTGTAATATAGACAGTTGTAATGTGATGGCTCGTTTTGATGTCTCTCTTTTTCTCTTTCTTTTGTCCAATAGAGGAGAGTTGGGGACTCATTTTTCCCTTGTACTATTTTGTTTAATCTCTATTAAGTAATCAAAGGGTTCAATTTGATTACTAGCTATATGTCACACCATAGCCAAATTTAATTCTAAACTTACTTTATATATGTCCATAACATATAATAGTGATACATCATCAGTTTTATTTAAAAAAAAAAAAAGAAAGATACAGGAGTCGCATTTATTTTCTTAATTCTACATTATCGATCACTCAAATCCTTAGTAGTAGTAGTTTAGAGGCATCCTCTGGTTCCCTTCAATCAACTCACATTCTCCTTTCATTTCTGTAAATACAAGTAAGAGTTTGATCAATCATAACAAAAGCAGAGAGAAAATTGATTGAGAGAGCAAAAAAGAATTTGTATGATAGATAAAATTTCTATTTATTGAAATGAACATTGTTACAGGTATTTATAATCAAATAATAAATAGATTAAAAAATTTAAATTTAATCTTTTATTTATAATCAAATAATAAATAGGTTAAAAAGTATCAATTTAATCTTTTACGTAGTAACATTCTCAATTATACTAATGAATACTAAATTGGTTGATAATAAACTTACATTATAATGTAAGTTGACAAAAAACTTTTACCCATCATGAACCAAAGCATATATTTAGCATAACAAAGAAATCACTAACCATAGACCATATATCTTTCTAACAACCACCATGTCTAGAAAATCTTCTGACTTACACTCCCTCACTACGAAAGACTGCGCTATTCTACAAGAAAGAAGCACAATACTACATCAAGTTATTAACTATCAAGAATAAATTGTCTAAAACTTATGAGCGAGGAAATCGTTCTTGTCTTGAGGATGCATCCGAGTAAGGCAAGATCTCACCAATTGGTGAAGAGTACCAAAACCGATAAGACCAATGTCAAACGCCAAATGAAACTTCGACCGACAGTCGCCAAATCTCAAGTAAGACTTTAGTTGACACTTATCAAGCATCAAGTATTTTTTGTAATTAAACTTGACGTTTTATAAAACACATCACTCTTAGAAGCATATGTAGAAGCAATCACTACCAAATATTTGCAAGAAATGTTTGGATTAATTTTGAATAAGGTTTCAATAGAGCTTGCCTTGCTTTTGCGGTGGGCTTTGTGACCCTCATTGTCACTGTCACTGCTGTCGCTGCTGTGGTCGGAAAAGGCATCCTTGATCTTGTGCAACAAATTCCCATCTTTGTTTTTATGTTGTTCCTTCTCCTTGTGACTGACACTAGCATTAGCATTGGCATTGACATTGGTCGAGTGGTGGGGTGCTGCCCCTGGAGCCTGGCCGTGATGGCCGTGGCCTTTGAAGACACCTTTGATCTTATCGGACACGTGGCCGAAGCAGTGACCTTGGTCGTGCTTCTGGTTTTGGCTGTGTTGCTGATCAGCTGGTTTGCTGCATTGTAGTGATGCCATGGATGCAACAATTGGAGCTTGGTTTCCTTTTTTTTAATGTTCTGTTTTATATGAAGATGTTTGGAAGGAGCTGCCTGCAACTGCAAATGCAAATGCAAAGCCAGGGTTTGGAGGGGCTTTATACCACTTGGAAAGTGGAAGTAGTGCAAGTGACACCCAAAATCATATTCTTCTTTTTGTTTTTTTACTCTTTCTGAACCATTTTTCATTTTGATGGATACACTAAGGAATCATTCTTTTTTGTTATCCAATAATGATATAAATTTTGGTATCTTCTTTTTGAGTAGTGAGGAAGTTTTTTTTTTTCTTTTTTTTCCCCTTCTTTTCGAAAGAAAAAAGTCAACTTCTATCTTCAAATTTGTTAGCTATTCTGAATAATTCAAACTTAAAAGTGAAATCAAACCTCTCTTTTTTCCTAGTATTACAATATATAAGAGAGAGAAATCAAATAATTTCCGACTTTTAAGAAGATAATATATATAATATCAATAACCAACTAAATTATGCTTTAAGTTAGAGAAGAGAAGAAAAAGAAAGCGCGGGATCTGTGAAGAAGATGGGTGGCAGTGAATCCATGGAGAGGAAATCAGATTCTTCTTCCAAACAAGAGAATAAAAGATGAGCTGCTTTATCAAAATTCAAGTGACCATCATTGTTACAGAATTTAGGGAAAAACTCCTATCCTTCTAGATAGATCATTTTGACCCAAATGAAAAATATTGGTACATCCACTTATTTATTAAATGTAATTTAAATAAGTCTATTATAGACAAATATTTTTAAAATGGCTTTACTCGAACCTACTACCACTCCTTTCAAAAAAAAAAAAAAATCGAAAATATGTTACAAGAAGATTTGAATTTCCAATTTCAAAAGAATGAATTTTATGTCTTAAATGTTGATCTACATTCATGTAGACGAATAAATGAATTATTTAAATAAATAGAGCAGTAATCTAATGATTCAACTATTCAATAATGGTTTATAAATAATCAAACATTAATCAGGTACGTGCAGTGCTCAAGGTATGGGAGGGTAAAGTTCCGACTGGAAAAAAAAAACAATATAATGAAACATTGATTAATTATTATTTGAAAAAAAGAATAAAATAAAGAATACAAACTTTAGAAGAGAATTTTTCCTTTTGAGGAAATACTTTAGAAGATTTTTGTAATGTGTTTTTTTCTCTGTAGCGAATATTTGTTTCCTCTCTTTTTCGAATACTGAAATTCTTTTAACAAAGGCCAATTGAATTAGATAATATTCCCATAAAGAGGGCAATATGGAAGAGATTCAAAGAAGAAGAAAATAAAATAAAATATTATCAGAAAATGAAAAGCTCTCTAATTGAGAATCAAATGCTTTTTTGAAGAACTGGTTTACAACCATAAGTTGTGTGGAAGAAAAAAATAAATTCATTCCAGCTTTTTTTCTTTTTTTTTTTCCACTAAAAACCATAGAATCAAATTCATGAAACATGAACCCACCTGAAACAAATCAGCCGTTAAGGCACATACTATTTTTTTTTTGTAAGGTTTGAGATTCAAATTTTCATTTCCACGCATTTGCTGTACCAAAAAAATTCCTAAGAGAAACTTTTAACTAAGTTGAATTGACTCCTTATATAGTATTCCGCAAACTGAGTTAAATTCTAATAAGTTTATTTTTTGAATTATTTATCTCAAACTATAACTTTCTTAATTCTAAGAGTTAAATTAATCCACTTACTTTTTACAAATCACAAACTAATGAAATAAAGATTTATTTTAGTTAATCCTTAAACTTTGATATTTATTCTATCGTGCTACTTAATCTTTTAAACATTTTATTTTAATCTCTGAGGTTTACATATAATTTTTTTTAGTACAACATGTGGGATGAATATTAGAACTCACGACCTTTCAATAGAAAATAAGTGTTTTTAGTTGAGCTATGCTCAAGTTAAAACTTTAGATACACACGAGCGGGTATATATATATATATATATATATATATATTTATTTGACAAACATATAAATTATTTTAATCCTTGTCATTATTTTTATAAATTATTTAATAGAAACCTAACATAGACCTTATTTATCTAGTGAATAAATGTTTACCACAACAAGTATTTGAAGTGATAAATGGTAGGCTTTTAAAATATATTCAAATTTATGTTAATAATTAATGAAAAGTGACAATAAAAATTAAAAATAAAGTTTTACGCAAGATTTAGGCTAAATATTGTTTTGGTAATAAATCAATTTATACCCATAAACTATGGAGAGTTTGAATCAATTAACATCTTAGGCTAATAATTGTATCAATTAAAATGGTAAACAAATTTACATTCCCCGGTTATGGTTTCTATTTGAAAATTATTAACAAATGATTCTAGCGTGTGTAAACTCCTTTAAATGTAAAATTAACAAAAAAAGTAACAATTTTAACTTTTTTCAAGTTTACTCTTCCAATTGATAAATATTAAAATAGACTACTAATAAATTTACACATAATATTTAGTGAATTGACAAAACTTTAGAAGGAAATTAACCCACCTAAGAATAAAAATTGAAATTTTGTCAACTTGTTAAAAATTTAGAGAAAGAATTTGAAAGTTGTCTCTTTTTAGCCTAATTTCTCAGCATCATGCTATTATATAAGTTCATCATATGCCAATTAAAGAAAAATATGTGAAGTTTAAGTTGAAACTTTTTAAACTAAAAAACGTATAAACATTATGAACTAAAATATATATTCAAGACTATAATTGAACATTCGAAAGTTAACATCTAACACCGCAGTGCCCATCGAATTTCACAGTTTCTTCTCTCGAGCTTCAGATTGAGAACCTGATTTTATCTCCACGACTCTACAAGAGCCTAACCCAACCTATATTACTTAGAAATTGGGCAGAATGCGGAAACAAAGAACAAAAACAAGTTGAGTTCATGGGTTTGATTGGGAGGATTGAAGTACTTTTTTGACCCAATCTAATTCTTCAGAGTTTATAAGTTGTCACTCATCCTAATAGTTAAACATTTAATACATATTTAATAACACTGAATCAAGATTCGTAAGTCAATTTTATTTATATGGTGAAAAATTGCACGTCAAAAATTTAAAGAGTTATGTTTAAAGTTGTTGAAAAAATTATGGAATGAAGTTAAATTGAAATAAATATATTCCTACATAATTTTATTGTAGGTAAAAGAAATATTCTTAAAATTAATAATTAGTTCAGTTGGCTTGATTCAACCCAAATTTATTTTAGGTGATCAACCTAATAAAAACAAGTTTATAACACAAGACTGTACGGATCGATTGGATTGATCAGGTGGAATTTTTAGGACACTCCTAAACAAGATGCCTAACTCTGACAACTCCTCAAAGCAGCAAGGCTCTTGTCCTCATCAGTCATCAACTCGACAAATACAACCAACAAACTACTCTCATTCAAACCATCTTTCATCCATTTTTTTCTTTCTGAAAAGAAAAAAACAACAAACATACCGACCAAACTTGACGGATGCAAAAGGGTCGGTTCGGTTTGATTTTCGGTTAAAATCAACGCGTAATCCACATATTCAAAACTTGATTTTTACCCTTAATCAGAGGGGTACTGTCCTCTTATTTCACAGTGCCAGAAACTAATAGTACCATGTGGAAAAAAATTAAGAGGAGAGAGAAGGGGACCAAGTGGGTCAAATATTTGAATCTTGATAACTACAAGTCAATGGCTGATCAGTTGTTTGTTTGTTTGGTTGCACTGGTCGTTCCAGTACAGATCAGAGAGCTGCTGCAGCCAAGGGACAAAAAAACAACCAATCTTTCAACACATAAATAAACAATAAATCTGCAGAGAACTGAGTTGCATTCTTTGGTGATGGAAGATGAAGCTAAGAAGATGGAGAAACAGCCACAGAAACAGTCTAAGAGCAGGAATTCGAGCTCGGAAGGTACGTCCTGTTTTTCTGGTTTTGCTGCCATGGCTACTGAAAAGTTTTGGCTGGTAAGGAAAGTTTTTACATGGCTACTTTTCCTTGAAATGTGTTTGTTGCAGAAGTTACCAGTTTGGAGTGGAAACTCATTCAAATCAGTGAACAGGAGGAGGATCTCATATGTAGAATGCACAAGCTTGTTGGAGACAGGTTCTCTCTCTCTCTCTCTCTCTCTCTCTCTCTCTCTCTCTCTCTCTACCTTTCTCTTTCTCTCTCTGCTATGCTATCTGCCATCGTCATCCTCATTCCGAACATGTTTTGCTACTGTTACATCGAACTTCAGGTGGGATTTGATCGCTGGACGAATTCCGGGACGTACCGCAGTGGAAATTGAGAGGTTTTGGATCTTGAAACATGCTTCCTAAGCCATTTATATCTTTCCAGGTCGGATTTGGATTCGGATTTGATCGCTGCCCAAGATGATTACATACAACTCTCTCTCTTTTCTCTCTCTATCTAGAATGAAAGGAAGAATACATACTATAGCTTCGCAGGTGTACAAGAGATTCATATTTCTCTTCTAAAAGGACTTCTCCATTCCTCTGTCAATCTTTTTGCTGCGTATCCAATCCAAATTCACCTGTATCTGAGAAAAGTTAAAGAAAGCACAGTTCTTAGAGACTAAACTGATATTATGGGTCATTTGTTTTCAAATAATCTCAAACAACAGTGAGCTTGTTCTGAAGAATCTGAGACCAAGGGATAAGCGAACGCTAATAAGTGCATTTGCATAGCCAGAGCATCTTTCCATGAATATAACGAAGATCGAGTTCAATATGTTTACTAATTACTACTTTGTGAAATGCACTTGTATTATCACACTACAACACTAGACGTGATACCATAAAACTCATTTTTTCATCCTATATTTACAGGGCAATGCCCATATAAACATACCAATGGAGGAGAGAGAAGAGTAAGACCGCACATTTTTAACGTTGCTCAATTTTTCATCCTATATTTACGGGGCGATGCCCATATAAACAAATATTTCAACAAAAGGTTACAAAAATACAATCACCTAATTATCTTATAGGGAGAAGAAAAAAATAACTCAAGACTTCTCCTTTTCCAACTCTAGAACAGTTGAGGATGTAGAGTTTTCGGCCTCCTCAGATTTCCTAAGAGCTCCTCTCAAACCCAACACAATGAATAAATTTGTTAGGGTGAGAAGAGATTCAGCCCCTCCATGTAACCAATCAACATTAGACAAAGAAGTTCCATATTGAACCTTTGCTGTTCCAAGAGAGAGAAACAATTAGAATTTTGGAAATTTGGACATTCTTGAAGAGAAGGCAATGTGAATGTAAAATGTTGTTTGATGGGGAAAAATTACCATATATTCCAGCAGGGACTGCACAGTTGTGGGAGCAGCAAAAGCCAAACCAGCACAAGTAAAACCAAGAGTTAACAGCAATACATAATAGGCATTTAAGATCAAGATTTCATTAGGGTTGAATTATACGTTTGATCCTTATACTTTAAACATTTTTAATAGATCCCTAAACTTTCAAAATAGTATCTATTTGGTAGTTTCAATTTTGTATATAATATGTCATTGTCGTTAACTTAGTTAATTTGACATTTACATGACGAGCATACTGTGTTATATAAACATAACAAACATCATGGGCTAATTTTGGATACGTTCTGGCATCTGGCAATGTAAGCATTGAACTCCATTAATGACAAGATCTATTAGACACATTGGAAGTGAATGAGCTAATTAGAATCTTCTTAAAATAAAAGATTTAAGGAGACAAAGGGACCAATTAGAAACTTCAAAGTATGTATAAAGACTCAACAAATAGAAATTTCAGGAACTAACTTATGATTTAACCTAAGAACTATTATAAACAACCAGGTCTTTGCCTAATATTGTGAAACCAAACGGAAACAAATGCCAGTTGTTCGCGAAACAGATACAAATGGATAGATATAACCAAATCCAATAATTAAAAACTTTAAAATCAGTGGTAATTCAGAGACCCACATGCCAATTGCCCTAGAATTGAAGAAATCGTGTTGCCCACTTGAACCAATAATTGAAACAAAGGGGAAATTATCGAACTGTAAATCAAATACAGAAGGAGAAGGATAAGGAGGGAACTCACTAGTAGCGCCGACGAAGGCAAGCAAGAAATAGAAACCGAAGAGAGTGAGCTTAGGAGCAGTCTTGGATTTGGTGATGAAGTACAAGAAACCAATGTAAGGAAATAGGGAAAAGGCGAAAACCTGTGAGGCTATGCTCTGAGAATCAATGTTGGGCGCCCATGGATCCACAGGCAAAATCGCCCCGCAGATAATCCCATTTCTGAGACGGCAGGGCTCCACGGAAATCCGGCGAGGGATTGCTCCGAAATTTGGGTAAGAAGAAGGAGAAGAGCTCAGAAAAGTTGAGACGAAGGGGGAGGTCGGAGATTGACGAAGAGAACAAAGATGGGTAATCATTTTTGGAAGCAAATTGTTTTTCTTCTTCCTTTTTCTGATCAAGATCAATTGTGGTTGTGCTGTTGAGAGAGATTTTGCAGGTCACAAGATACAAGGATTGGTATATGATGGTTGTGGACCGAAGAAATTTTGGATTTTGGCCAACGAAATTGGAGTTTAAAAGGAAAAATTGTGCGAGTTCTACTTCTATCTTCACCTTTGAGATTTTTGTTGTTTTGCTGACAAACAAAACAAGTTTATGTTTATTAAAAAAAAGTTATGAAATGAATTTTGTTCAAATTACATCCTAGTTTCCACTTTTAAAATGGTAATTTATCCCTCTGATTTTTGAAATATTTACTTTATGATTATACTTATTTTCGACCATACCTTTATTTTACTTTTAAAAAATAGATAACGTCACCTTTAACATAAACATATATTAGAGCTTCATAAATTGGTTGAGACAAAGATTAGGTAATTTTTTAATATTAGTAATAAAATAATTGCTATAATCAAACAAAATGATAATAATATGTAAACTAAATAAACATTTTAAAATTTCAATAGCCAAAATAAAGCAAACTTAAAACTTTATAGACTAAATTGAATATTTTAAAAATATTAAGACCTAAGATAAAATAACTTAAAAGTTTAGAGATTAAAAATATTATTTGAACCTCATGGTTTTTTTCTTTTTTCTTTTGGGTTAATTTTTAGGGGACTCTAGATAATAGCATATTTGACATAAATAAAAGAAATGTTGTCACTTGTAAAATATTTTACAAAAATGACATAAATGTCAAAACTTGTATATTAGTTAATTGTTATTGAATTTATTCACGAGTAAAGTTTATTAGAAGAAGTTACATAATTATGAAAGCCAAGAGTAACGATGGCAGAATAGCATGAAATGCTAAATAAATTATTTGTTTGAATATTCAAGAAATAGTTTTATTCATAGCAATGTTCCTTTAATATTTATTAATGGATTTTTTTCTAATAGTAATTAGTAAAAATCAAGTTAAAGTACTTATCTTTCTGTCAACCGGAACATAACTCAAATATTAAAATATAAGAAGTTTACGTAAATTGAATGTTCAATTTCTCACTCTACCCATGTGTAACGCTACGTAATTGGACTAAACAGGAGAGGAAGAATGTTTTCAAGTTTTAATTGTCTAACAATATTTTCAGCCAACTCCAAAAGCCATACTAAACTTAGACTCATTTAAAAATATAATCAAGAAACTAATTTCGGAAAACCTTGCTTAAAATAACAAAGGTTTCAAAATCTGATTGAAATTTGAGAGTGAGAAACCTCATTCAAACTAATATATGTTATACCAATGGAACAGGAAAAGAATAAAGATTTCAACCAAAATGTTGAGAAATATTGACAAAATATGGATGTCCGGATATTTTTGAAAAAATATAAAAATTAAAAGTATATAATAAATATTTAAATTAATAAATAAACGTTCCACTATTTTTAAATATTTTCAAAATTATTAATATTAATATTATATTCATGTAGGGATATTTTGTCAATTTTTTTTTTATTTTTGCGATACTATGAAAATGTCAATATCAAATACATAGATATTTAAAAATATTGATGAAAGTATCGAGATGTCGATGAAAATTTAATACTCCGAAAAGAAATTGGTTTAGAATTGAATTTTGCATTCATCAAAATCACGAGAAAGAGACTATTGGCTGAAAAATTTAAGTCCACACTTCCATGTCTCATAGAAATTAATAGAGTTTATCTACCTTCACGCATCATAGCGTTTACTCTAATTTAATGATAATTTATTTTAATAAAAAAGATATCATATTACGGAGGTTGGGAGATCAAATTCACAATCTTTTGATTTGAGATATATACCAATTACCGTTAAGTTATGATTGCTTTGACTATTATGAAGCTATTTAAGATATATATTTTGTCAATTTTTTTTAGTATAAGAAATGTGGAGATTATGGATTGAATCTCCGACCTCTATAGAAAGAGTAATGTTGTTTAACTGCTCAACTATATTTATGGTGCTCTTTTTTTTCAATTGAAGCATATAACTTAATAGATAAGATACTTATAATCATTACGAAATGTTGAGAGTTTGATTCATCACCTAACTACGGCGGAATTAAAAAGAAAAATTTAAGTAAAATATAGTTTTAAATATCTATATATATAATAGTAGAAACTTATTTTTTTTCTTAGGCTATTACCTTTGTGTGGGAGGAATTTTTTTTGGTACAACAAAGAGTAGGAGGATTCAAAATCATGAGTTAGAGATAGGTATCAATTACCGTTTAGTTAAGCTTATATTGACATGTGGAAAAGAATTTAAACTTACGATTAGAAGTAAATATACATTAATAACTAAGCTATATTCCTATCGTAAAAAATTAAAGACATGTTTATTACATTCTCATTTCCAATTTCCTTAAGAAATCTAAGCATTTTTCAATTAACCACGTTTCGTGTTTCTTGTTCCCATTTCCCATTTGTTCCAAAACATAAATAAAATGGTTATTTGATAATACTTGAATTTTTTTTTTCTTTTTTGAGAGAAATGATGGTACTTAAATTCATAGATGTTTGGACCATGTAATTTATTTTTCTTTAATATAAATGAAGATAAAGAAACAATAAAATATGAAGGTTACCAAAAGGACCCTAACATACCTTTTTATCATTTAAAAAAAATGTGTCTCATATTATAAAATAACGAATATTGGAGAAACTTCATCAAGACATTTTCTCTAGAAAGAAAGAAAAACACAAAGACGTGCATGGTGGACATGGGCTGATGGGCAGGTGTTTGGATGTATCTATTTTAAATATCATATTATAATATTATATGGTTATTAATGACAGGTTTCTTGCCATATTGTAGTCAACAATGTAATAAACAAGCTTCCTTCTCCGAATCTTCCTTAATAAATATGGGCTATCTTTGATTATCTAAGTTTTTACTTTTTACCCCATTTACTTTTTCAATTTTCCAAATGTATAATATAACTTTTAAAATTCATGACATAATTCCATTTAGTGAGATTTAGCAAAATAACATAAATTTATAGATTTTACTTTTCTTACTCTTGCTAGCTATATATATATATATATATATTATTAGCAACAAGAAATTTGATAATTAATCTATCACCAATAAATTAAACTTGTATATAGCAATTAAATTGAAATTAAGATGATTAATATGAGCACAGCTTAAGGAAAAGTTCAATATACAAAAAGAAAAATAAAAAGGTTTAATTGTTAGAACTTAGAAGTTATTTTTAAAAAAAAATTGAACTACCTTTATTCAAGGTTTGATTCAAGCACAAGAAATACCAATTGAAGTGGGCGGCGTGAACCGCTCCGATGCAGCCCTCCTGACGAAGCAGCCAATCTCCGGCGAGAGTCCGCGGAATTGAGGCTCCGGAATCGCAGAAAGCGAATAACCCAGCGCTCCTTCCCGCGCTTCAAAATTGGAATTCTGCTTGTGCCTGAACACCGACCGGAGAAATTTGTGGAAGGACCTGGAAATGGAGGGCCTTTTGGAAGGCGGAGGAGGAGGAGGAGCGACATGTCGGCCAGGTAGATGCGACATCGACAAGGTCCGAGAAGCCATCGCAGAATCAAGCTGGCGTTTGAGGGAATTGAGCTCGAAAGAATCGTAGAGCGTACTTCCACAGTCCCAAAGGAGAGGCGATGGCGAGGATTTGGATTTGTGGAAGGTCGGGCAAGGGCTCTCGCTCTCCATTTTTTGGGCACAAAACAGAGGAGGGAAAGAGAAGAACAGAACAGAACCGCGTTGTGGTTGAGGGCAAGGTCGGTTCCATATATTCGCATTTAATTCCATGCCCTGCCCATCATTGACTTCTTCACCCGTTAATATTAACAAAATGAAAGTCAGTTTCAGTATTATTTATCTGTTTCTTTGAAGGAAAGGCAAATTTATTTGGTTTTCATTCAGATGGCTTGTGTAAGAAAAGTGGTGCGTATTACACGTAATTAATTTCATTTTCTAAGTCAAACCATTTGTCTGCTTCTTTCCTACAAAATAATTTGCTCGAAATGCAAAACATTGACATCTTTTAAAAAATTATAGCATTTAAACGTTTTTCTAGGACACTCAAACAATCTCATTTTGCTCCGATTCCAAAATGTATATTCATTTGTGCTTAATTTGGTAACGTTATCGTTTATCATGTATATATTATTATAAAGGAGCCGAGTTCAAAATAAGGAGGAGGATGGAAGATGTGGGAACCCACTTTGGTAGGGAGAGTCAAAGCACTCCGCGTTCGAAGGAGAGTTAGTTGAGAATTCTTTCAATTTTCAGAGTTTGTTTTTGTTTATTAGTCTCAATGCATGTGATGCATGTGAAGACGTGCTTTTATCTATATTTATATTATAAATTCATTCTAATATAAATAATAACAAGTTTAGTTAAGGTACTGTTTTGGAGTGATGTAAATGTTATTACGTCGAATCTCACTCAACATTTTAGATGTCAATGTAATATTTGAGCTTATCCATTCAAATTTACAAAATTCATTTATTAAAATGGTAACATTTGGTTTTTTATTTTCATTGGTTAGTCTGTAACGATGTAGTCATTATATTTTTAAATTGATAATAATTTAATACCTAAATTTTGATATAACATATTTATCAAGAAGATAAACTCTTGTGTTGATTGACTTGTTAGTCGGGCAGCTTCTCTTGATGTAATTTGTGTCCAGTCCCCTCCTTAAGCTCTACCATTTGCTAATTGTTGATGTTATATTGGGCCATGGTCCTTCTTATGGTTTCTTCTCGTTTTTAGGACTCTTTTGCTTAGTCATTTTAGATACAAGACAACTCAGGAGGATTAGAAAGTTGCCACTCTATCCATTTTTCGAAAACAAAAAGTAAAAAATAAAAAAGATTTACCTTAGTCAGAATACTTCTTTACTAGAATATTATCTTATTAAATTGGGAAGGGGAAACCTACATCATAAAAGGTAACGATATCATTTGAGTTAGTCCAACACTCCAACCTTACATGATCCAAAATTACAGTACAAGCATATATATATATATATTCCAATTTCCAAAACTACCACCAAAGTTCAAACTATTCCCACTTCACATTATTATTGCACTAAAAACAACATCAATTTAAACCACATCACTACTAAACAACTTAAACTTCTTAGCATCCAAAACCAAGTTCCTAACAGAAGCAAAGCATCCCATAATTCCTGCACCAGAGAATGCAACAATAATGAAGACATTGACCCAATAAGTCACCCACGACGACACCGGAGGCTTGTGGGTGATGTTGTAGAGAACCATCGGAAGAACGAAATCGAGCGGGATGAACCCGATCGCTCCAACAACGCTGTTAATGTCACCGAAGAATGGAAGCATGGCTGCCAAAAAACCACACATAGCCATGTACAATGTCCTCAAAATCAGCCGAGGAATCAGGTTTCTCCTTGAGAACACTCCTTGTTGTGCATCTCCTGACCTTCTCTCAATTATCTCGTAAGCCACTTGGGCGTAGACCTGCACAGGCGAGATCAAAAGACTAAAAATGAAATCGTGATCAAATGAGGTTTTGAGAGAATGGACGTTTTTCGGACCATTCCGATGGCGAGAAGTTGGAGGAGAATGAAGAGAACAGCGAGGAAGAGAAGCCAAGTGGGAGCCAAAGGAGATTCATTTTTGGGGAGTAAGTTCTTTAAGAGATTTGAATTGGATCTGTTGCCAAAAACCCAGTAGCCAGAAGCTGCAGATGAGTAGAATGTGATGAAGATTACAATGTAACACATGATGAGCCCTTTTACCATCTTCCCAGCCACTGGTGGTGCAAGAGTTGCCTGCATATACATTTAAGTATATATAAGAGCTTCATGTAAAATCAAAAACTTTGAACTTGTGTACCTAATTCATAAGGACCCTATTTGATAGTTCAAAAACACACTTTCTTCTTAGTTTTTTAAAGTTTTCAATCTAATTTCTATTATTTCAACTTTATTTAGTTTCAAATCACTCGTTGGAGTTCTAAACGTTTCAATTTTGATCTACTCTATGGTTTAGTCGTTGCATAAATCGTTTTTTCTACCTGAAAATCTTTATTTTTTACTCAATCCTAGACCAGTCAGTGGGTCTAAAATGTGCCACTATTTCAATTACATACGAATACTGCTGGTAAATGATTTATGAAGTTTTGACCCTACCATAACTCTAAATATAGGAAGTATCATATTGGTAATTATAAAAGCTAAATAAACAAATAATGGTAATGAAAATGGGATATTAGAAATGAAAAGTGGTAAAATATTACTTGAATTTCAGGAAGAATGCCATTGCCAAAAATGGCAGCGAAGATGGAAATGGAAGTGAAGGCGCTAAAAACTCTTTCAGATAGAGTCGATTCCAAATGATAGTCCCTCGGAGGAACCTTATCTGATGTACCTGAAATTCCATTCAAATCTATGCTTCAAGAGAACCAACAAAACTTATTTATTTATTTATCTTTTAATCTGAATCTGTATAACTCTTAGCTTCTTCCCGTGCCCACCAATGACCACCCTCGATTAAGAATTTTTTATATTAAGCTTATTAAATACATTATCATATGGTGTCATGCCCCCGTTAATGAGGGAGTCCTACTTAAAAGGTTCCTAGTTAAAAAACTATTAAAAGTTTATTTTGGTCTATGAACTTTCAATTTGACGATCAGTTTAGATATTTCTACTTTCAAATGGTTTAATTACTATATATGGTCTCTGTATACATATACTTTCTGACTTTTATCCATTTTAATATTCATACATACTTTCAAAGCGTTCTATTTTAGTTATTTTATTTTCTTTTTTATCTCACATTTTAAATCACAATTTCTACCCACAAGTATTCAATGAATTTCTTGAAATATATATATTCATAGCTTCGTATTAAAAGGTTTCATTGTGTATAGAATTCGTGTTAAAAATTTAAAATAGGGAGTAAAAAATGGTCATTTTTTACCGGTGCTTTGAAAGCACGTGTACTAAAACGAATAAAAATATAAAGATCAGAATAGTTGAATGATAAAAGTTACGAAAGTTGGAGAGACCAAAATGAAACAAATACGAATTAACCAGATGAAATGGAAACGATTAGTTATTAAATAGATATATATACACACACTAACCTGCAAGAATGGAAGCAGAGGCGATGAAGAAAGTGTAGGCCAGACTGAGGAGAAGAGAAGCAAAATTGATGTGTCTGAGGGAGTGGAAAGTGGGAATTTGAGAGATCATTATCATTCCCACACTCACCATTGCTATGAAATGGTACAGCTTCAGCTCCCCTTTTGGATATAACCTCCAATACATCAACTTTTTTTTCCATCAACAAATCACCAAAACTCATCACTAACCAAATTTCAAACTTGTAGACCAACTAACCATGCTCATATTAATTTACAGCCTTGAATTAAAATATCACAATACTTTTTTAAAAATATATATAAGATAAAAAGAGATGGATAAAAGATGATTTAAAGACTTGTGAGGTTGTGATTTGACCCAATTAGAATTAGAATTAATTAATTATTGAAACTAAGCTCAATTATAATTATTACTAATTTAGTTTTTATGATTTGGCGTAGTTGAAACTTCTAGACTTTCTCTAAATGGTGGTGGATGTAACATTCTCAAACAGTAAAAAAAATCTATCTCTTTGATTTGGATTTAGTTTCAATTAATCTCTGGTAAGTTATGTAGGACCAAAATTAAAAATCTAAAATGATAAGGACTGAATTAAAATTAAGAAACAAATGGATAATCCAATCTATAATTAAATGGTTTTTGAATGAGAAAAGTTGTGTCATTATAGAATAATAGAAAGAATACCTCCATGCACTCCCCACCAAGCAAAATTGCGGCTACTCCCACTCCTGTGTTCACAGCCGCTTGTATGAATACCACAAAATATAGCATCCATCCTGACCCTGTCAAATTACCAAAATACCATCCTCGAAATCAATGCGTATCAATCCAAACATAATTCAATCCGTTAAAATATATATTTTCCACCAAAAATAACACATATTAATCTAAACACATTGCTCATATTGATCATTTAACTGCAGTTGAAATCATAATTTAAATAAAATATAACAAATATTAAAATACACACATATTAATTGACAATTATATATAATCTATAATTTTTTGTCAATACTTATTAAACAAGACTAAGATATCCTTGAAGGTTTGATTCCTCGTCTTTTTTTTAAATTTTATTTTTTAAGTACATTGTGGTCTCCTTGTTTAAAAAAAAGAAAAAAATTCTCATCCCCGTATTTAAATAAAAAAATTACTATAATTTATATATTATAAAATAAAAAAAATATGAATTTACCATCATTAAAGTTAATCAATAATCACAATTTAATGGACTAAAAAAAATTAATCAATGATTAATTAATTTTTAACACTGGATGAAAATTTTGTATTTATAATTATTTTTTTAAATGTGCTATATATATATATATATATATATATATATATATATATATATATTTTCGGGTCAAAATTTCATGATAAACGAATTTTGACGAAGATATGATGAGTGCGGACTTACATGTCTATGGGTGCATGATGGCATTGCGATAATGTTTTAATGATCCGATTTGATTCAGTAATTATCTTAATTTACATTTTTCAATGATAAGATTTATAATAACAATTTATTTTCTTTTGTTTTATATTTTATGTTTCTTTAAAAAAAATTTAAATTGCTACACAAATTTTATTTTTTTATGAAAAAAAAGAAGCTAAAAAGGATAAACATAAAATGAGCCTTAAATATTTAGTCCAAGGGATTAATCCATGCAAAATTTCTACCATTGAATGAAAACCATAAATTTCAAAAATATAGTTGCAGTGTTGGTCTTTTATTTGCTTTAAGTCTCATCGATTTTCTTTTATCATACATTTATTTGAACCAATATGAGAATATATTTTTTTTAATAATATTTCGAATGGAGGCTAAACTGAAGATAACAACTTCAACCCTTTAAATTTAAGATCAAATTTGATGAAATTTAATATTTATAGTAATAATTTATGACTCACATCACCAAGAGAGAATAAAAAATGAACTTTTCACGCCAACTTGAGCTAGCTCAATCGATTTAAGTACTTATATCTGATTAAAAGATCGTGAATTTACATTATCACCCCATATTTGTACTAAAAAGAAAAACAAAACAAATAAATTTTCACTTTTATGTTTCATTTTCCCATTAATTACCACATTCTCTTCCTCTCCCTCACGTCTCTCTCTCGTCTATTCCTTCGTGTTCTCTGTCTCCCCTTCTCTTCTTTAATTACTATCCTTGAAATTCACTTTCCTATCTTGAAAAGTTTCAATGTTGTATCGTTATATAGATATTTACTTTCTTTCTTTTAGATAAAAAACGTATAGAAATAAAAATTTAAATTTCTAACATTTTAATCAGAATCAGTCGATGATATAAGCTCATGTCGGTAATATACTTTTTCATTCGTTATTAACTTGTTGAAAATTTTTAAGAATAATGTGGAATTCAGCAATTATTAGTGAAGGAAAATTCATTATTGTGAATTGAGGGAGTTAAATATTATTTGGAGCATTCCCTCTCTAATTGGACCAATCAATTGGTTATATTTTATTTTATTTTTTAAATGGAATTTTAGACTCGTCTTTGACTAATAATTGCGTCTGTATTGGTCAGAAAAAATGGTTTATTGAAAAAAAATTGAATTTACTCTACTAAAATTTTTGTACATATGTATTTTAAAAAATAATTTAAAATACGTGCTTTTTGTACCTATGTATTTTTAAATAATTTTTAAAATTTTTATAAATATAATATTAAACTACTTTTTATATAAACGAATTTGGACATATTAGACATGTCAATTAGGTGCTATTTGACACATGAAATTCATCTACCTATCAATAAAATTAATTTCTTCTAAATGACATGTCTAAATGGTGTGCTCTCATATGTAAACAAAATAACCATTTAATAATACATGAGTTTTTTACTAACAAATTTCGATATACTTTTTTAATGAAATGGTTAAGTTGAGAATTTTAAAAGATTAAAGATCAAATAGCAAAAGAAGTATCATCATTTTGATGCATTTAACCACTTAGAAAAGTCTTAGTGGGATAAAAATGAGTTTTTTTTTAATAATGCCATTTTAAAATTTTATTCCAAATACATGACACTATTCAAACTATTTACTAGAATAATGCTTAGAAAATAGATAGACTACCTAAAGCGCCACCGTAAAATTTCTTTTAAAAAAATTAATATATGATCGTCTTTTCAAAAGACGACCAACTAGGTGGGAATTTGTAGGTCTCTCGAACAATGTCACTTTTTAGAGGGAAAAAAAAGTAAAATATATGCAGTATTATATAATAAAAATTAGCTCAGAAAACATGTTTAGATATACATAGTTTAGAAACAATTCTTAGTATTTCCATCTCCTTTACTCTACTTTATTTATATGCACTATTTTTAATAACCATCCATGAATAGCTACCCAATTAAAATATAGATTACTTGGAGAGAGAGAGAGAAAAAAAAAGACACACACACGGAATAGCATTTCTATTTTCTATTGTTAAAACAATTACTTTTTATAAAGAAATAATGTTTAAATCAAATTTTAGTGAAAGAAAATAATTTCAGTCCTTAATTATCTTTATTTACTTATAACATATTAACGACTTAACTTGGAATATGTATATTAATAATGAATTAATATGATCAAGTACTGTATGTATTTTTTTTTTTAAGTTCCGAGGATTTAAACTAAAAATATATATATATTGTAAGAAAGGGACGGGGGTGTAGTGGGGAAAAGAAAGAAAAAAAGGTTACCTAAGAGATCGGCGGCGAGTTCCCGGAAGCGGATGTGGCGGCGGCCGTGTTTTTCACAGTGCTCGAGAACTTTGGACAAGAGGTAGTAGGAGTAGAAGGTGACGGCGGCCATGGCCGTCAAACACAGAAATCCTAGTATCCAACCCAATCCTCGGAAGGCGAAGGGAAGCGTCAGAATCGGCGGCCCTACGATCGCCGTCGTCAAGTGGAATCCGGCGTGCCACCACTCCCCTGTTTTGTAATTTGTAATTTTTTCACGTTCAATTCAATTTCATCAATTAGTAATTAGATTACCAAAATAATCGAGAGAATTCGGAGGACCTTTGGATTCGAGGACGAAGGCTGCTCCGGCGTCGTTTTTGCGTCGGGATGCGGGAAATGAGTCCGCCGGAGGAAGCTCTGCCATGGATCACGGAATCGAGAGAGAGAGAGATTTCGGATTTTGAGAGTGAAGAGAAATTTTGGGGAAAGAGGTTTGTTTCCAAAAAGGAGCGGTAACGGAAATTGCTCTGTTTCCAGCAGATGGCCGACGCCACGAGACGTTGATGGGATTTTAAGGTAATCGAAGAAACAACTTTTTAAATCTTTTTTTTTTTTTTCTTTTTTGTGTGATTGGAAGTGTTTTAACTGCTTAATTAAGTTGTTATTGGACACTAAATTAATTAATGAAAAATAATTAGTTTTATTTCTAAGTTAAATGTGTTAGTAATTAGTTTGTTGGTTAGTCAATTAGTTTCCGCATCTGTTTTGTCTTTCTTTAGTTTCTCCACACGTGTAAGTCTCCATTATTAAACTTATGTGGAGGGATAATACTTATTAATTGACAATTAAGAAATATGAACGAATGTATAAAGCAAGCGAGATAAAATAAAATAAATAATTGTGTAATTTTGGTTTTAAAATATTTATTTCAAGGTTTTACTTCATTTTAATTTTTTACTTCCAAAGCATTCATTCATTTTCCTCTGTCTACTCGCTGCTTTTGTTCATTTCAATAATTGTATTTTGAAAATGTCTATTTTGGTTCTTATATTTTTAAAAAGTGACCAATTTGATTCATATTTAAAAGTTTTTAACACGAATTTAATACACAAGGAAAATTTTTTAATAAAAATTTATGGCTACATTTTAAGAAATTCAGTGAGTGAAATATGTCATGCTAAAATGAACAAAAATTGAAATTAGTATCGAGAGTAAGATGTACATTTTGAAAATATAGGTATCAAAACAAATCAAAGCAAAAAATAGTATGACCAAAATAGTATTTACACCAAAAATTGAGGGATTGGTTGTGAGCAAGGAAGCGTTGAGTTGGGCGCATAAGGTCTATTTATTTTTAGAAATATATTGTTGTTCAAATTCATAAGTGTATGAATTGTCACAGGTAATATAATAACAAAACAAGTAGGTTATTCATTTCCACAATAAATTAAAAGTTATTAATATTACCAACTTCTATACTTCGATTTTATCTGAATGTCGAAATTTAATGGAGTAAAAGTAAAGAATTTAATAAAATATACGAACTACACAACTAACAAGCAACAAGGTTAAACTCAAGGAAATAAAACTCTAAAATACGACTTCACTGATGTTGTTCTTTTAACTTTTCCTACGATGAACTTTTCTAAATCAAAGTTGTTTACGAATTCTACCCTATTGAATCAAAATTCTCTTTCAACTAATAACAACTTTATTAGAAAGTTAGAGTATCTTTATCTACTTCGGCCATTCAAATAATCAAGCATGTAGAGCCCAAAATGCCATAAAATTTACAATAATCAACCTCTTTGCAAGCGTCGAGGCGTTAGGATTTTCTTTTCTTTTCTTGTGCTACTACTGTGTTTGGAAAATCTTTAAAAGGGACTCTGAAAACTAATCGTTATTTACCTACAAAATAAAATAATAATAATAATAGCATCAATAAATATAAGAAAAAATTCGCTTCATAAAAACCATAAGAGAAATTTCATTGAATAGCACAAATTTAATATGTATTTTTAAAATATCACAACTTCTCAAATATAACATAAATTTGATTTTTGTTGATGTATTTTTTATACCTCACATTAAGTTTGTATTTAATTTGGATTATCACTTCTTACAAGTTGTTAGACTTTCTATTATATTTGAAAATATAGGTTTTATTCTAAGTTATTTACCTTGAAAATAAACATGAGTGGTTCGTAAGAAACTTCTTGTTTACAGGTGAAGTATTATTCATTAATGAATAACTATTAAAAGATTACAAATTTAGAAGTTGAATAATCGTGTCCATTTTATTTCTAACCTTTATTCATGATGCTGGTGATATTTCTAACTTTGATTCTAACAAGTTTATATGGTTAACACCATTACTTATCTGTTAAAAAATAATGATTTATAAGAGAATGAACCATAACTTAAAGTTAAAGTGCATTTCATCTATATATATTTTGTTGAATTATTTTTTTGGCCTGCCCACTTTTATTTTAGTCAATTAACCTATTTGTACTGCAACATGTTAAATTATCTCACTCGTTAACCTAATTAAATGTGTCACATCAATATTTAAACGATAATGTTAACAACAATTAATTAGTTCATAGTCAAAATTAAATTAAGTTCAACACATCATTGAAATTAACCTAGGTAACTGTCCCAAGTCATGTATTAAATACGTAATTTAACTTATTTTGTTCTTTTTCAATAAGTTATTTACGTTTATGATTAGCATCTATGTTCCTACTTGTAATATTATTTATTTTCTTGACGTTTTTTCTTTCTTTTTTAAAAAATACATTTCTTACTTATATTGTATAGGTTTTTTTTTTATTCCTATAGGAAAAATAGCCAAGATAAAATGCTTAACACCTCTATTTTTTATTACTTTTTAATATTTAATATGAAAATTAATGTGTTTAAAAAATGAAAAATAAAAAGGTATTTATTCAAAAACTCCAATTATGGAACTCTTCTCTTCCACTTTGAGAAATTATCGAAGAAGTGGTGGACAAGTGGGCACATGAAAGACAAGTTGGAAAATGAATACTAAAAAGGAAAAAAAGTGGAAAATGGGAAGAAATTTTATCCACTTTCAAAATAATAATAATAATAACAACACAAAAAGAGTACAAAAATAAAAAGAAGAAAAAGAAGGAAAAGAAGAATTCCCAAGAAAAAAATAATAATAATCATTAGTAGAAGAATTTATTAAAACAAAAATAGAAAGCTATTTTTCAAAAAATTCTTAGAATGGTCTAAATTTGTTGTTCCCTTGAAAAAAAGAGTAAATTAATAAGGCGTTGTTAGCTAGAACTTGCATGGTTAAATATTCAAATAGTAGAATATATAAAGACCTCCCGCGACATATTGTTGCATTTATTAAAAAAAAAAAAAAAAGCTTCAACACCATTATTATTACATAATAGAAAGATAGAATGTAAAAGAATTATTATTAGACAATTTCATCCAAATTTTTAATTGATAATTTCAATAACATCATTAATGTAATTTTTTAAATTCAATTAACTATTTTACATTATTTATGTTCATCTTTTTCTGACAACAATTTAACTTTATCTTTGTTACATTAAAAGATTGAAAGTTGAGAATTATTCTTAGACTTTTTTTTTATTTTAGTTTATATTTCAAATTATTAAATTATTTTAATTAAAATTAATATAATATTCATGTTATAAAATTAAAATGAATCTCATGCTCTTGAAAAGTGTAATCAAACTGTGGGTTTATTTAAGCTAAAGTCATAGTCTAATAAAGTTATAGAACATATGTTTTTAAATTAATCTTCATTCTTTCTCTTCACAAAAGCAAAGAAGCTGAAATCAAGAATGAAGAGCCTTTTTGATTTGCAAGAGAGAGAGAGAGAGAGAGAAAGAACACACAGAAGAAGAACAAAGTTAACACATTCAACTTTTTTAAAGATTCTTTTTTGATTGGTAATTGGTGAGTGAAGTTTCATATATATATATATAATAATCAAACTTTGAATGATCTTCTATAACTTTTCTTTAATCTATTAAATGGAATACTGCTGAAATCTACAAACAGAATACAAGTTAGCAAAGAAAAAAACTCTTTTAAATGATAAGATGGGCGTACTATTATTCTCAATGGCATACAGTTTATCACATCCAACCATGGTTGGAACAGCTCGCAAAATCCTTCCGTTAGTCTCGATGGCATAGCCTGATGCAAAAGTTCCTCTTTTTTTATCCATCTCGTTAATCTTTAGGGAATCTAAGCTTGTCTCTACATGACCCGATCATTTAACTAAGATCTCTACGAAGTATAATAGAGATGTACTTGAGGTTAAGAAAAGATCTTTTACATGAAGGTTAGGCTAGAGATTTTTAGATTTCTTTCCTAACGTTTATGATAGGACCACAAAACAAATTCAGTTCCATGACTGATAACTCAATCGAGACATCAAAACTATATTTACAAATATTTGGTTACCTGATTCGATCATAAGAAATAGAAGCAACAGCTGGATCTCATTCCCTTTTGAATTCTCAAACTAAGGACAAGAAATATGCTCTATATGTTGCATAGGTAGAATAAAATAACTAATTAACTCAATAGAAATGGCTGTGTTTAATACAGGTAGATATGAACACCCTAAAGAAATGTTCCATTCTTTTGCATCTATGAATGATCCAATAATCAACTGCAGAAGATGGCCCGAACGGTATTTTACCAACAATGAGAGAAATCAAGAGTGTACCTTTTTTGTAGCAAAATCTTGTGCTCGACATTGGTGAAGTTTCTATCCATTTAGCACCATCTCCATAATCACATCGTTCCACGAATCGATCGGACCGGGTAAGCACCAGTGCAAGCAATCTCTCTGTACTTTGGCATTTTTGTCATGTGCAAATGGTTGGAACTCTCTGTATGGACCTGGATGCCCATCAGGCCTCAACAATGAAAGTTGGGTCAGGTCAAGAAGCTTCAGATTCAACCCGTTTTGAGACGCTTTTTCTTCTGCCTTTTTGAGCTCCTCCAACTCAACGTTGCGCAGAATCTTGGTCAGTTCTTTCAATTCAATCTCACCTTCTTTAATTGGTGCCCTTCTGTCGCAAGTTCCTCCATTGGACCATTCCCCATTCTCAAAGTGGTCAGGCGTTGATGTTCTCATAAATATCATGCCCTTGTGATTCGATGTTAAGATAAACTTTAATGCAGACCGGAACGATCTGCGATAGGCGAATTCAATTCCTAGCTCTGTAAAATTTCTTTTTGGGCAAGAATGGCAACCCAGCACTTTATTGTTTTCATAGTAGATTGCAGATTTCACAAACCATTTACCACTAGAAATTATCATGTAGTCTAGTTGGTGGAACACATCTGTCCATTTCTTATCGAGCTTGTCGAGATGAAGCTCAACTTCAGATGTTGAAACACCATTAAAATCTTCGAATATAGCAGCTTCTGCAAGGAAAGGTGACCAAATAACTGAAATAGTGAAATTATATGATGGAAACCTCCATTTTCTGTTCTTGTATCCTTCATCATGGTAGATATGGACAGCTACTTCCACCTGAGAATAAGTATACAACATCCAATTAAGCTGTCGAATCCAACATGAGAAGCTTTCAGGCATTAATGATAAAAGATCGAGTTGCTAGATAATTAGATCGGAAAATTGAAGACATGGAGAACCTCATTTTAAAAACCTAACAGTACAGCTAGCAGCTACAAGAAACCACTAACATTCAAACACAAAGTTGCCTAAACCCAACCCCAAATGAAAAAACGCTACCTAGCACTAAAACACACAAATCCAATCAGGCAAAAGGCACTTGAAGGAACCAACACCTGAAAAAGAAGCTTGTCCAGCCACACAAGAACGGCCACACCAAATCTTATAGAACTCACCTAACTAAGGATACTAATCAGATCACTTGTTCAAGAAACTTTGATGTCGAAATTGACTTCCTCGGTTAAGAAGATGATTTAAAGAGATCTTTTCCCCAAATTTTACTAAGTGAGATGTATCGCCATCAAACAGTTTAAATGCTCAACAACTAACAACAATCAGCTGACTAGAAAGTTAGCTTATCATGATACCAGTTCATATAGCTTCCATTTTACTTCTATAAATGAATATTCATCTACCATATCAGTTATTAGCAGTCACTATTGTTTGGAATGTACTTGAAACATAAAATACAAAGATATGGTAAACTTCAACTTCATAACCAAAAAAAAAAAAAAAAAAAAGGATTATGGAGCCATAAATTGAAGGCTTCAAAGATTTTTTAGATTGGATTGGCTTATCCTAGAAAAGGATGGCATGAGTTTAAAAATAACTTTTTTCACTAAACTAAACAGACAAGAAGTTGATGGTATCTAAAATACCGAGAGAAGAATGTGTCTGTGGGAAATCATAACTAAGGCACCATGAAGTCGGTAATGGTAACCTCCCTGCCACAAATTTCATACTGACATATTATTTATTACATACCGTTGAAAGCATGCACAGCAGTGATTGAACATGGTTCCGAGATATCGAATCTCCGATCAACGCCCATGTTTTGTCCCTCATCATCACAAGAAATCTTTGAGGATCAAACTTCGGTAGTTCGCAATCCTGTGGCTTCCATCTCCAGTATAGATATTCTGTATCCGGCCGCCCATTCTTCATACAATTTTGATGGGATTCAATATGAGGGCAGCTCTCATTATTGTACATAGGACCTGATGAATTTGGGATCCACTCTCCAACAAAGAGATTACACTTCCCTGCGCCAATTTTAATTCCAACCAAGTTTTTTAAAACTTCATTTTCTCAGAGAAAGAAGGGGGGTGAAGAAAATGAACAGTACACTTCTAAATAGAGAAGCAACCCATTAGTTGACAGAAGATTAATCCAACATTCAACATTAGACTCAAAAGAAAATCCTGGTAAAGGAATTTCAGCATTCCACAGAAAAGAAAATCCCCCATATTTTGATTTACAGTGCTATTTAAGAACGGCAAATAGTTACGAATCTTCGATCCTAATCCAAGCATTTTGAGAGGACAACTAGAAAATAAGTAATAGCAATATCATAAAAGAACATTGTTCATCACCTTCAAGTGGTTTCGGATCTTCATTCTTCGGAGCTTCCTGTGGCACGTTCGTCCGCAAATCCTCGGTCTTCTCAGATAAAGGAGTTCCCAAAATCCCAGGAATGTCACTCTTCTTAGTTGAAGGGATTTCCAAAATCGTGGGCGCCGCTGTCTTCTCCGTTAAAGGGGTTTCTAGAATCGTCGGCATATCATTGGAGCTGATGAACAGGAAACGAAAGGCAATACCCATTAAGAGAATAGGAAGAACGAGCTTCAGAATGAACAAATGGTTGCGTTTGAAAGGAAACGGTAGCTTCCAATTGAACTTCATCCTCCTCTTCCCCACTTTGTCTCTGAAGAAACCGGATCGCAATGTGAAGTTCGAGAAGCAACCCAATACTCTAAATCAGGGCGATTCCGTTAAAACGCATCTGGATCCGAGTTTCCCCACTCCAAAGTTCGTCGTGACAACAAAAGGGGGAAACCAAAAGAACAACAAGCAGTTGAAAAAAATGGAAGCAGATTAAGCTTCTTCTGCAGTAATTTGGGTCATTCCATTTCAATCGAGTGCAGAAGAAAGTGAAAACTAAAATTGAGCCATTAATGATTGAGAGAGAGGATACCAAGTACAAGAAGTGCGGCTCATTTGCCCAAACAAACTGAAGGGGAAAGAAAAACAAACAAATCAATATTGAATCGCTAATAATGTACTGAATGAGTAATCAAATCATAACATCATCGAAAATCTGGTAATAAGTAGGATTAAAATATTGGGATTTAAGGTGAATCTACAATTATACAATACAGCTAATGAAAATTTGTCTTTGAATTAGTTCCACTACCACTTTCAGACGTTTTACCTTCCAAAATGGACCATATTTTGATACGGCCAAAAAGGTGCAAATCGCTGCGGGGAATGGTGACGACTTTTTCCAAGAGTCGGTGGCTTTGCTTCACCTTAAAAATTCATTCTTTTTCTTGAAAATTATCGAGAATTCCTTTCATTTGTATTTACAAATATATTCACCTACATCCCAATCTTGATTATCTAGGTAGAGTTGGGAATTTTCAGGAAGAACGGTTAAAATTTATATTCAATTATTTTTTTAATTAAAGATCGAAGGGACAACTTTACGAGAAAATCTTCGGCGATGGGGTTTGAACCCATGCGCACTTATGTGCAAAAGATCTTAAGTCTTCCCCCTTAACCTCTCAGGCAAACCAGCTTATAAAATTTTATACCAGTTCTTTAAAACATACTTGTTTTAGTATTATATTTTTAATAAATAAATAGAGAAATTACATTGATCACCTTCGACTATAATAATCGTAAGAATTACAACTTCAAACTTTTAATTTCAAATATTAAATCCTCTGACTTGCTTAATTATAAAATTATCAACTTGAGTACATATTATACTCAAGGTTTACAAAATGGACATTATTAAGGTGAGTCGGTACCTATTTATCCCTATCTATACATGTTATCAAGGTGGATTTACAATAGACCTATATGAACTCAAACGTTAATATAATATAGTAAATAATACAAGAAATTTAACCAAATTTAGTAATGGTGCATTGGGTTAAGCCCCTTCCGCGGACGAAGTTTGGAGTTGCCATTCATGAGTTTTTTATTAAACGTTTACGAACTTTTTGGCTGAAGTCGACCTGCCACAGGCGCATCCGATGGAAGGCTGGATTATTCCTGCATTCTTTGGATTTTTTAAACGAAAATTTTTTATGAGGATTCGGAATATCACACATTGATCAATCAAAAAGAGATTCAACAACCTTATTATTATAAAATATGTTAAACGAAATTTTTTAAAAAGAAACAAAACTTACTATATAAATATATTTCCATTTTTATTCGTTTCAAAATATATAAGAAAAAAATATGTGTGTATATGTGTGTGTATATATATATATATATATATATATATATATATATATATGAAAATTTGTTTTATATATATATATGAAAATTTGTTTTAAGGATTTAGATAGGTAAATTTTTAAAAAGGAAAAAAAAATTTAAATGTCCAACCACCCTTATTTCGAATTAAGAGAAAATTTTATTTAGGTTTAAAAAAAAAATTTGTATGTATCCGTTAATATTCAATTTACATAAATAAGTTAATTTATTAAAAAAAGAAAAAAATGTATATATTGGTAGAATATTCCAACTCTAATAATTTTGTTAGTTATGGGTTCGAACCCATGCGCACTTATGTGCAGAACTTCTCCCTTGATCTTTTGGACAAACCAGTTCATACAATTTTGTATTATTATTTTAAAAGATTTAATAGTATTTTTTAATAAATAAATAGATAAATTACATACAGCCATCCTCAAATATAATAGTTGTAATATTACAACCTCAAACTTTTAATTTTAAACATTAAACCATCTCATTTAGCTAGACAACTTGCTTAATCATACATACAAATTAACTAAAACTTATTTAATTTAAGTATTTTATCTACTAAACTATATATATATAACAAAACTTGTAGTCTTTTTTGACTTATCATTTAGCTTAAAAATCCACCATCCTTTCCTTTCGACTAGCCTGGCCAACCACAAGATATTATAAAAAGAAAAAAAATTACTAGCTATGAGATATGAACCTATCTAACCCTTAACATGGACGGATATACGTTGAGGTCATTGTGTATGGTAGACCACAAAAAAAACTTCTAGCCTATTTAGCGAATGTGCAACTATGTAATCTTGCCTTCGAGAACCATTATTTGAACGGCCAAACTTCTAAATTCTTATATCTTTTGTTATATTTGTTATATTTTTGTTTTTTAAATTAAAAATTTTATACTGTAAATTATATTTTATTTAATGAATTCAAATCCGGAGATGTTTCAAATTTAGTTTGTATAAGTAATTGAATCCTTAACTTATTTTGAACAACCTAAAACTTTTAAATTAACTTATTTTGTATCATTTTGTTTAAATATAATTGTTTTAATAATATTTTCCTTTAGTAAATAAATAGGTAAATTACATACCACAAACCTAAGGATTACAACCTCAAGCTTTTACTTTGAAACATTAAAAAATTGCTAGGTATGGGTTCGAAACTCATATACTTTTATGTGCAGAATAAAGTCTTCCCCGCCCCGGGCAAACCAGCTTACAAAATTTTGTATTATTTTTGTTTTAAAAATACTTGGTTTTAATAGCATTATTTTAGTAAATAAATATAGGTAAATGACATATAGCACTCTCAAATATAATATTTGTAAAAATTACAGTTTCAAATTTTTAATTTCAAATATTAAACCCTGATCTCTCTTATTAAGACAACTTACATTTTTTTTAACCTACTTAGACAACTTAATCATATAAATTAACTCCAAACATTGGACAACAGAGGCATTGGTGTTCGATTTATTAAAAAAGCTGCAGTAAGCACGCAATGACCCCAAAAGCATAAAGGGACCTTAGACTGAAAGAAAAGAGCCCGGGCAACATTGAGAAGATGTTGATGCTTGCGTTCTACAACGGAATTCTGTCGAGGACGATCAACACAAGAAAATTGATGCAAAGTTCCCGTGGAAGCAAAAAATTCAGTAAATCGAAGTTCAGGAGCATTCGAAAGACTTTGATAATCTTTGAAAATTGTGTCTCAATCATCTTAAAAAATCGAGGAACTATGGTTAAGACATCAGATTTTTGCTTCATGAGATAAATCCATGTAAATCGAGAACAATCATCCACTAAGGTCAGAAAATATGTATATCCATCAAATGTGGGGTGTTAAAAGGACCCCAAATATCACAGTGTATTAGATCAAACACAGAATCAGAAACATGATTATTTGCTGAAAAAGAAAGACGGCGTTGTTTAGCCAATGGGCATATATGACAAACATGAGATGAACCATTATCAGTAATATTCAAAAACTGTTTTAATAAGGCAAGACGAGTAGGGGAGAGATGCCCCAAGCGTTGATGCCATATATCAGTAGTAACAAGGCAGGTAATGACTGAATCGGGTTGAGATGCAGGAGAGGAAGACACCGGCAGGCAAGCAATGGACAATGGCGGTGTAAGAAAATAAAGTCCATTTAAACATTCAGCCCTGCCAATCATTCTCAATGGTGACCTGTCCTGAATAAGACAAGAAGTGCCAGAAAATTCAATGGAGAAACAATTATGTCGAAGCAGTGCACTCACAGATAGGAGATTATAAGTGAACTCCGGAACAAGGAGGACATCATGAAGTATAAGAGCATCGGATAACTGAACAGTCCCAATAAACTTGACAGAAATCCGAGAACGGCTTGGTAAAACAACAGCAGTGTTACAAGCAGGACGCATATCTAGAAAAAGAGTCTGTTGATGACATATATGACTAGAAGCTCCGGAATCGATTATCCAAGTTTTCTGATTAAAAACAGAAGAAGAAACCATTGAAGAACAGGTACCTGCAACATGATTCATAGGCGTGATGGTCTCTGGTTTAGCAGCCTGAAGGTGAGATTGAAGCATCTCCATAAGTTGTGAGTATTGGCTGGAATTGAGGCTATTAAAGAAAGCAGGCGAACTATTTGATGGTCGTTGAATGGCAGGGGATGAAGTAATATCAACATTCTTCTCAGAGACCTGATTAGCCACAACGCCATTGGAATGAGAGGTTCCATTGGGATTATGCAGTTGGCCGATCCTAGCAGCAGGATTATTAGCACGATATCCTGGAGGATAACCATGCAATTTGTAACATTTGTCAATTACATGTCCACGAAGGCCGCAATGAGTACAGAAGGATCGATTATCCTTTCGGCGAAATTGAGTAGCACTATTTCGCTTGGAAATTTCAGCAACAGCCATGGCCATCGAAGGAAGAGGAGGATTGATGGTGCCTATAGCACGTTGACGTTCCTCTTGGATGAGTAATGAAAAAACCTTGTTCATAGGTGGAATTGGATCCATAAGAAGAATCTGGGCCCTAATTTTGGCATAAGATTCGTTAAGCCCCATGAGGAAAGTCATAACATACTCTGATTGAAAGAATTCCGAAAGAGACTTCAATCCAGAGCATGTGCAGTCAATAGTCGGTCGATAATCCGTAAGTTCTTGCCAGACAGTCTTTAATTTCGTATAATAAGCTTCAATAGACAGAGTTCCTTGGATTGTAGTAACCAATTCCTTACGAAGTTGGAAGATTCGCGGAGCATCGCTTTGTTGAAAGCGCTCCTTAAGCTCATCCCAAATATCCTTCGCAGATCCAGTATAGATGATGCTCGCGGCTATCTCCTTTGAAACCGAATTGATAATCCAGGAAGTTATTATGTCATTGTTGCACTTCCACGCTGCAAGCAAATTTCCATTAGGTTTCTTGATAGTGCCGTCAATGAATCCGACCTTGTTCTTTCCAGAGAGTGCGATCAACATAGATCTGCACCAAGCAATTGTTGAGTGACGAGCATAGTAGTCGGAGCGGTGGAATGGTGGATTAGGTATGGATTGAGTTGTGACTCAATAGTCGTCGTACCTGCTGTACTTGAAGTAGGTACAGAAGAAGTTATTTCCTGATCCGCCATGAACGCAAGGAAGATTTCTATGAATCTTCACGAATCCTCAAAAAATGCAAGGAAGCGAAAAAAAATTGCAGAGAGCGCTATGCTCTGATACCATATTAGTCGCTAACAAATTGGAGAGATGTGAAAACTGTATTATTTCTCTCTACAGAATTCATGATCTATTTGGTCAGTCTAAATATAATTAAAGCTGTAAGCTTGTATCATAACAAACTATCTAACTACCATAGTATTAATTAAACTATGGTTAACAAACTATGGTTAACACTAATAACTATATTTCATAGAAAACGAAACTTCTAGTCTCTTCGACTTATCATTTAGTTTACAAAATCCATCACTGCTTGGATCAGCCCAGCCAACCACAAGCTATTATAAAAAAGAAAATTAAAAAAAAAAAAAAAAACTGTTACTGGTCTTGCCAGCACTTGTGTGCAAAAGATTTAAGTCTTCCCCTTAACCTCTTCGGCAAACTAGCTTTTAAAATATTATATCATTTCTTTTATATCTGTTTTAATAATATTTTTAAGTAAATGAATAGATAAATTACATAGAGCACCCTTAAGTATAATAATTATAATAATTATCTCTCAAAACTTTTAATTATATTTCAAACAAAAAAAAGTTTTTAACTTACTCAGACAACTTACTTAATTATATATATAAATTAACTGTTCTACTAATTCGGCCAACCATGGGATATTATAGAAAAAAAAATACAATTAATATATAGGATTCAAATCATGCACACTTATGTGTAAAAGATCTATCTGAATGATGTTATAGCGGATGAAAGAGTATGCAGAAGATTGAATGTCATGTTCAAAGCTCCTGAGAGATTAAGGGAATAAACATTGGTGTATACGAGTATATTCCACTCCAGAGCCTAATATCACTCTTCACGAAAATTTTTGGGTTAAAATTCGTAAAAAAAATACCATTTTCAAAAGAAAAAAGGCAAACCCCTTGACCACTATGGTAAACCAACTTACAGAAATTTATATCATATTTTTAAATATGTCCGTTTTAATAGGTGAAATTACATAAAAGCACCTTCAAATGTAAGAGTCCTAATTATAACTATACTGCATCTTCAAACGGTTAATTTCAAACATTACATTCTTTTAACTTACCTAAACAACTCCATTATATAAATTAGTTGCAACTTAATTACTTAATTATACAAATTGGTTCAAATCACAATATTTTTTTTTTTAACAATGTCATGATTAATTAAGCATAATAAATGAAAGGAAAAAAATGACCCCTCCTAGCCCTCCAAATACTTAGAAACTTAGCACTCTCACATATTGTCATGCCCGATCCCCACCAAAGATTTTATTTTGTAAATTTTATAAAATATATACTTGTTTGAACAATCTCTTTTTCAATAAATAAATCTAACAACTTTACATTAACAAATAATTAAAGAATTAATTGAATGGTAAAAAACTAGTGGAGAATGTTCCTATGCAAATCAAGACGCATATTTTTAAATAAATATTACTTAAGCTACATTGATATGCAATTTTGAATAGAAAATGTTGTCTTAACAAAATTGAATATAAAAAAGTTTCACAAATTACATATTTTTACCACCGTTGAATTTTATTCCCTTTTGTGCCGATGTTATTTCAAGAAAAACATTTATTGGTTTGAATTTATCTTGAAATGACTCATATAGCTGGTTTGGTTGATCTGTAGCAAGGATCTCCTTAACTCAAGAGGGTTGGGTTAAAATTTTTGTACCTTCTTTATGTTTTTCAATATTATTTATTTGACTTCTATTCATGATGAAATCATACTCCGATGAAATTATTGATTCCAACAAATAATACAAAAAGTACTGTCATCTCTACATTGGACCACCTCAAAACAAGAAAACTAAAGGAAAAAAAATGAAGAACAATAGATGGTATTAGTTAATTTGAATGCATATATTGAACACATTCAAATGCCTAAATTATACCAAAGCTGTAATGAAGAAAAATTTTGTGGGAAGCTGGTGTACCTCGACAAAGATCCCAAGTTTCATATTCGTAAGAGGGAAGTCATGATTCCCTCTGTGTTGTTAGGGTGCTCATATTCAAAATTTTTTTGCTTCCATTTCTACCATTTTCTTAATAAAACATTAAAACAAATCCTAAATGGGAAGGAATGATTCTTTAGTTTGCATCAACATACTAAATTTTTTTTTATTGACGTGTTGACATTTACATCAATATTTCAATAGGTTTATGAATTTGACATCAACATAAGGGATGAATCGACATTTTCATAGTATCGTAATAAAAAAAATAATGTCAACTGGACATAAATTTTAACTTATTTAAAAAAGTAAAAACTTAGATAACATTTGTTAAGAAATTTTTATTAATATGATTTTTCTAGAAGTATTCATCGATAATATCATTATCGAGGCTTTATCAATATTTCTATAAAATTAAAAATATTAACCATATTTGTATTACATGATATTATATTACGAATTTGGAAACCACGAACAGTAAAATTACGGTCAGAATGTCAGATTCACATTGGAGGGCCATACTCTCTGAGTGAACCCTATTTCGTCATTACGATCATCCAATCACTGGATGGCTTACACGTGTCCCTTAACTTTCCCTCCCAAATCTAAGCCGCTTAGATGAGTTGGCCGCGTTTCCAGGGGCCCCACACTGTCTTCCCGACGTGGCATCACCACAACCTATCGTTAGAACCCCTGAAGCTGAAGCTGGATGTTTTTAAATATTAATTTTATATATTTTAATAATATTTCCACTGTAGTTCTTGCTATATGTTTCGGGAAGTGTAATACTTATAATTAAATTTGATTCAATGAACAAGAACAATCTATGATTTAAACTAAAAATCAATGAATAATTTAAAATTTTTTTGTTTAATGGATGGCTCTAATTTAATCATCTATTTTTTTTATAATAAAGTTTTAAATGGAGGCACGTGAGGGAAACTTTATCCGAAGAATTTCCGTTTTCTTTTAACTTAAAAAAATAAAATAGTTTTTTTTTTCCTTCGAAATTGAGTAGAATTTAAATTTCCGAACTATTAGAATCCATAGACAAATAAAATAAAATAGTTATACGAAAAAAATTACCAAAAGAAAAAAAAATTATAAAAGAAAAACAGGAATTTTTTTCTCTCTTTTGTTGCGGATGAGAAAGCGAGGCAAAAAGATATTTTGTTTTCTGCTTTCTATCAGCTGTCACACGCATCTCTCTCTATTTTCTAGGGTTTCTGCTCTGCTTAATTTCTGGTTTATCTTCTGCGCTTTTATTGCTTTGGTGTGCTTCTCAGCTCGTCGGATAATTGCTGAAGTAGATTGTTAGTTGAACTTTTTTTCTTAATTATTACTTTTTTTTTTCTGGCGGGGAATTCATTACTGTTTGGCTGCTGGGAAAGTGAAGATGAATTATGGATGGAGGTGGCAGTTTTTATATTGCAGTTCTTCTGTTTCCGTTTTGATAGATGGAGAGAATTCGTGCTGGGGGCAGGTTCGAGGTGAGTTCTTCCCGTAATTTAAGCTATGTTCGAGTTTTGGAATGTTAATTCATTTGCTCCAATTAAATTATGGTTTCATCATCTAGATGGAGCACTAGCATTATCGGCCGTTTCATATCCACACCTGTCAAATTTCAATCATTGTTCTACTCTATTAAATCAGTTTTTTCTTTTCAGGAATTAGTTTTACTTCTACTGATTTTGGTTGTTGTTAGTCCTTTTTGTTTCCTGCTCATAATGATTGGAGCTAGGGAGTGGATAGTTTAATCACCATTCTTAATGGATGCTTTGCGTGTGCTCCTCCCTATTGTGTGTGTGAGTGAGAACTGGTTCAAGTTCTATACTGATGAATCAATTGCGCTTCCTTCACGTCTGCATCTTTAACCTTGAGTTTCCTGTTTCCGTTGCTCAATTTTGTTGAATGGCCTATTTGTTTCCAGCATATGTTGTTCCTTTCAATCTGTTAGTAATGTCTAAAATTTATAATTACGGTTCTTTTTCTCAAAGAAGATTATTTCTGTCTGGAGTTTTCAAGAATTGAAAAAATTGGTTTTTGGCTTGTGGTATTGACTTCGCAAGTTGTGTTGTGATAGCAGGGCAATCAAGTATGTGATAGAATGAAGTTAGTCTGGAGAGGATGGAAGAAGTGAGCGAGGAAATGATGCTATTGGACGCAACAGAGGATGTGCACGTCCAAAATAAGGTTAGGCAAGATGCTCAGGAGGGTGATTATATGCTGAAACCTGAAAATGGCAACATGGTTGAATCACAAGAAATGCTTATACCTATTGACGGTGGCTATTCACAGGATTATCCTCATGAATTTACTGACATTTTAGAGGGTAAGAATCTGAATAGGTGTATAAGCAATGTGAAAGTATCCGATCAACCGGAGTGCAGTCCTCACTGTATGGATGATGCTGGTGTGATGGTCGAAGAGCTAACATTGAGAAATCACAATGGTTCCAATTTAGCAATTATTGGTACATCAAACAATAGAGCGCGGCTGCTTTCTAGGCATAGTCAGTGGCAACATCTTTACCAGCTGGCAAGTGGTTCAGGAAGTGGGAGTTCACGTATTGATACTTCTTACAAGAACAATGGTCAGGCAGTATCCACTGGCTTGGATAATGGTGGGTACACATCTTTTCCTGAGGGTTTTGCTGGAAAAGTCAGTCATAATGATTGTGGAGAAGAATTGGTAGAAATGAAGGCTAATGACAATAAGGGTGGTGATACTCATGGCAGCATTCGGACCAAGATTCTATCAAAATCAGGCTTTCCTGAATTTTTTGTTAAAAATACCTTGAAAGGCAAGGGTATCATTCATAGAGGTGTACCACTGGAGGGCCTTAATGTTGAACATAGAAACCCTAAGAATGTGAGGAATGCTGGGGGTATTACATTGGCATCTGACTCATCATTACAGCATGAGGTTAAAACTGTCATGCCCCCTTTGTATAAGAAATCTGAGCGTCAACTTCGGGGTTCTGCTTTAGATGGGATTAGTCTGAGAGAATGGCTTAAAGTTCCCCACCACAAAGTAAATAAAATTGAATGCTTGTATATATTTAGGCACATAGTTGAACTGGTGGATCATTCTCATGCTCGGGGGGTTTTGTTTCATGACTTACGTCCATCTTCTTTCAGGATATTGACGAAAAATCAGGTGAGGTACTTTGGATCTTTTATTCAAGGGAAAATCTCAGAAAGTCTTATGGTTAAAGATAGTCAGTATTCAGACAGCCGTCTGATTCGGAAAAGGCCATTAGAGCAGGGAAACTTTTTGTCATTTGGTGCATCTTCGAAAAAGCAAAAAAATGTCCAGAATACGAGTCTTATGGCCCGGCACTCTCATTTTGCTTTTAAATCTGGTGCCATTCTTGAAACTGCAAATACTAGGGACTGCAAGAATGAACATTTCGTAGAACAGGGGGTTTGGAGCAAGCCTGCTGGCCCTTGTGCGTATAATTCTGCTCAGACTCCAGTAAGTGACCAATTGGAAGAGAAGTGGTATGCAAGTCCAGAGGAACTTGATGCGGGATGCTGCTCAGCTAAATCAAATATATTCTCTCTTGGTGTTCTTCTTTTTGAGGTGAGAAGATAGTTGTGGTTTAATTGATATGAAGAAGTTGAAAGTGTTTTCACTCATTAATAGAATGTTGAAAATGCTACTATCAATTAATTGGGGTTAAAAGAGTTTTTATCCAATATCCATGAACTAGAATGTTAAAAGGTGCTTTTTCTCTATAAAGGTTGAGTGAAACTGTTGATAAGTAGAAATTTTCTCAAAGGTTCGATCAACCTAGGATGTGCAGCTATGCATGACTTTAGTTCTTGTTAGTGTCACTGTTCCATAAGTAGATGTTGAGGCATAATTCTAATTTGTGTTTCTGCACTTGATTAATAGCCTTTGGGCGTGTAAAATTTATAATATATTAGAACTTTCCATGTTGGTTGCTTTCTTGAACTGATTC